TTCTCCAATGATTCCTTCCAGAGATGTAGTGAATCTGATCCCTATCCGTTAGGTGAGATCCATGTGTAAAGTTGCCATTTGTTGTTGTTGTTATGTGCCATTGAGTTGCTTGCGACTCATAGCAACCCTATGCACAAGAGCTCTAAACGCCATTCTATCCTGTGCCAACCTAGCCATCTCAAATGCACTCATTCCCACCACTCCACTCACAGAATCGATCCATCTCATCGAAGGTCTTCCTCTCCTGCGCTGCCCCTCCACTATGCCAAACATGATGTCCCTCTCCAAGGACCAGTCCCTCCTTGCAACATGCCCAAAGTATGTCAGACGAAGCTTCAGAATCCTTGACTCCAAAGAGCATTCCGGCTTCACCTTCTCCAGGACAAACCTGTTTGTTCTCCTAGCAGTCCGTGGTATCAACACTCTTCTCCAGCACCACAGCTCAAAGGCATCAATTCTCTTTCTATCATCCCTATTCACTGTCCAACTCTTTGACGCATAGCACATAAATGCAAAGACTATAGTCCGGATCAGGCGCACCTTAGTCTCCAGCCTGACACTGTTGCTCTTCAGTACTCTTGAGAAGTCCCTCACAACTGACTTTTCCAATGCAATTGCAAATGCCATTTGCATTTTAAAAAAAGGAATTTTCAATGTATATATCGCTGAAAATACATAGTTTGAACATTTAGTTTCCAGCCTCATTTCTGTCACCAATCCCATATTTTCTAACTACTATTTTTTCCTCATTGTTTCAAACATTTGCATCCCAGTCACTAGTTAACATTACTACATTTTGATTGCATGTTTGGTCAATTTCAAACTGCAAGATTTGCAAAAATTTTCAATTTCTTCCTTTTTAGCTTTAAACGTAGGAACATATATTTGAAATAACAGTTATATTAGCAGGTCTTCCTTGTATGTATACGGATAATATCCTCTCACTCACAACATTGTACTTTTGGATAGACCTTAACATTCACTTATGAATGTGACACCATTCTTCTGTTTTTCATTCCCAGCACTGCATACCATGTGATTATCTGATTCAAAGTGGCCAAGCTAGTCCGTCTCAGCTCATTAATGCCTAGAATGTTGATGATCATGCATCCCATTTCATTTTTTACAATTTCTACTTTTTCAGCATTCAAGCTTCATACATTCCATGTTCCAGTTATAAAAGTTTGTCACTATTTTTCCTTATTTTGACTGACTTCCAATCTGGGCTCTACCTCTAATACTCTCTTTGTGTTTCTCTACTGTTCATAGGGTTTTCAGAGGCCTGTTATATAAGTGGCTGGCCAATCCTGCTTCCTAGTCTGTCTGAATTAGGGAGCTCTACTAAAACCCGCCTATCGCGGAGTAACTTCTGTGGCATTCAACACACCAGTGACATTGCTTTCAGCATCACAGCAACCCACAAATTATCTCAGTACAGCAAGCTGGCAGACAAGTGCTTTACCAAGTAGCACAATTTATTCCCCAAACACAACAAACTGAAAATTGAGTTTGTACCTCTTTAAGCCAATCAGGCTTCACACCAAGATCAAGAACTACAGACCTGAGACCCCAACCAACTGTTAATCACAAAGACCCACCCATGAGGTCCTAATTGATTTAACAAAAGGCTCCAAGCCCGGAAATGACTGCTAGTCAAATAAAAAACCTGACTTCCAGATCCAAATAGCTTCTTCAAACAAGAGGCTTCCAAATCCCAACTGACTTTTAATCAAATAAAAAAGCCTACCTTCTGCATCCCAACTGCTTTAGATAAGAGGTTTAAAATATTCTGAACTAACCTTGATTATAACTTTCTGACTTTCCTATTATGGTTCTATGTGGATTTTGAGCTATCGCATTGGTTTTTGGACCCAGTAAAGCCGTACGTTTGGTGTTGGGATAAGTAGAAACAGGTGTGAGAGTGTGAGGGACATGTCTCACCTCACTAGAACTGGTTTTGTGTTGTTTATGTTGTTGATGGAGACAATTCCCTTTTGTCAAATTGGTAAAAGTCAGCTATGGCCATCCTCACTCGAGCGTGCACTTTTTTATGAAGGTCTTCCTCTCCTTCATTGACCCTCCACCTTTCCAAGCATGATGTCCTTTTCCAAGGACTTCTCCTAAAAACATGCCCAAAGTATCTAAGATAAAGTTTGGCTATAAAACTTCCTCTACGAAGCACCCTGGCTGCACCCTCTCTGAGACATAGTTGTTCTCTTAGTAGTCCATGAGGCCTTTATTACTCTTCTCTAGCTCCACAATTCAAAGGCATTGATTCTTCTTCTGTCGTCTTCATTCACTGTCCAACTTTCAGATGCATAGAAAGTAATTGAAAAGATTATGCCAGAATCAGATGCACCTTAGTCTTTTAAAATGACATCCTTGTTCTTCAGTACTTTGGAGAAACCCTTGCCTATAGACATTCCGAACACAAGTCTTGATTTCCAGGCTGCTTGTTCCAGCGGTGGTGAATGTGTAAGATGAAATCATTGGCAATGTCTTATCTCCTCTCCGTCTATCACTTACTATATAACACAAATTTTTAAATTGTATAACCAAGGTAAAGCCTACCTTTCTAGATTCAACACAGCTTAACCCTGTGGGCCTTTCACACACACATATACACATTCCTTACCTCTGTCTTAAATGTACCCCTACCCACCTTTGTCCTTGTTTTTGTCTCGTTATTCTTTAATTTTTAGGTATTTCTAGAGTAGAAATGGTGCTCTCTTTTATAGTCTCATAGTATCCTGCCTTTACCTCCAGAGACATTGTCCTAGTTTTTAAGCCTATTTTTACACTATTATTTTTCCACTCTGTTTCTCCACTTAAAGCACAAGCTCGAAGGGGAGCAAGCATCATATCTGTCTTGCTCATGATTGTTTACTCTTTTTTAAGTTTCGTTCAATTCCTGGCATATGGTCAGAATTCAGTAAATATTGTTTGTCTATGACTATAATATTTTATGAGTGTGACATTTGTGTAGTTTATAGAAAAAATACCTAAGACATCTAATCCATAGAAAACAATTTGATAAGAAGTTAGTCACAAATTACTATTGCTCTGCACTTGGAAGTCTAAGAGATTCCAGGGTAGGGCTACTTTTACCACCTTTCTGGAACTGGAATTTACCCTAATCTAAATTTTCACATTCTTTAGGTGTTTTTCCTTTTACCATTTGTTGAGTGATATTTTTATGTTTAGATTGAAAGCCTTATAGTCATGAGATTAATCATGCTATTTATAAATGGTGATAAAACTACTAAATAATGAGCATCTATTGTGTTATATAGACAGAATGAATAAGAAAATGGTCATTTGTTATTAAGCTATGCTTTTGTGCAACTTTCTGGAGATGTTACTGAATTATTAAAATGCTATTAGCATATTAATATATACATATGCAACACAAAGAGAATTTTTACTCAGAAATGTCAAAACTACAGGTTTATTTATCTCCCTGTTTGTCTTTACTTACACGTGCTGTAAGTAACTTTAGCCTTTCGTGTTCCTATTTTTGAAAAAAATAACAATCTATCATCTTCTGTCTATATATTTCCTAGTGGACTATGAATGCTGTTTTTCAGTTAAAATGCATTAATAGAGGGCTCTCCTATTCTGATAATCTTATTGATGAAATTATAAGATTATCCAGACATTGCTATCTCTAAACCTCCAATAGTAGAGTGTTTTTCATCTTCATTCTAGAAGAGAGCTACTACTTTCTCATCAATTAAAAGGTAAAATCAAGTAGAACATTAGTAAGGTATCTATAGAACCTGTCCATTTAAAACAAAGTTTATTTAGGATCTATTTTTGTACTAGGAGTTGTGGAAATTCAGAGAAAGAAATGGACATGTTCTATTTCTCAATTTAAAATTTTATTTAGATGATATTTCATTAAGAGCTGAGTTTAAGTCCTTCATTTGCTGTGTCAGTTTTTCTCACGTGTAGAATAAGAATGATAAAATACTCATTTCATCAAGTTAATGTGAGGAGTAAATAAGAATACACGTAAATATTTATACCATTTCCTTGGATATAAAAAAGATTTGGTGTATATTAACTGTTACTACTTTGAGATATTTTTTTTTCTGGTAGGTAACCTCTTAACTTTTGTTTTCCTCTGTTTCTCTCTATTTTTCTCCTATTATCATCAGATCTTAATTTCTAAAACACGAGTTTAATTGTATATCCTCCTCTAACCTATTCCCCTAATTTTTAGAAGTGTTTAGTGGTTTTCTATTAAGAAAAAAGTTTTACACACATTGATGACAGCCCCTCACCATTTGACCTTCACCTTTTTTTATCAAACCATCTTCTGCCTCAACCACCCACATTTTTCTACACAAACGTCCCACAGTATGCCTTATTCCTTCTTCTTACTTCCAATGAGAAGAAATAATTCTCTATAGAGAAAGATTCCTCTTACTCTTCCCAGAAAAATTTTTCAATCCTTGTTTATTCATCCCCCTTTAGAATTTGAGGAGGCCAGGTGGCATAGTTTGTAGCATGTGGTCAAATGTCAAAAGACCAAATGTCTCCACTCACAGGTTTGAGGGACAATGATAGGCAGTCTCCTCCCACTAAGATTTATAGCCTCAGAAACCTGGTGGAGATAGCATTGAGCTCTTTAGCATTTACCACATTGTTGTTGTTGTTGTTGTATGCCTTCAAGTCAGAACTGACTCATAGCTGATCCTTCAGCAGGTTTTCAGAGGCAGTAAATCATGCAGGATGACATTGCCTACCCTTTTCCCACAGAGCAGCTGGTGGATTTAAACTTCATGTTTTGGGCATTGCAGGGTAACTGCTTACCCATTGCCCTTCAAGCTCCCTCACCTGTTACTAAAGCTACCTGAATATGTCTCTCTTCCATTAGCTTGTGAGTCCCTTGATAGCAAGAGTTATGTTATGTTCTATCACTTTATTACTAGAACCTTATAGGCACTTAGTAATGGTTTAATTATATTTTAATTTAAATATATTTTTCCCCCTAGGTTCTGGGCCTTCTCCAAAACATGAGTGTTTTTCAGTGTCCAAAATGTAAACACAAAACTCACATTTTTGGTGCTGATGGTGCAAGAAAATTAGCAAGGAACCTTGACCTTGATGTTCTAGGTAAGGTCATAGGATATTATTTTTCATTTTAAGTAGGAGAAGGGAGAATGGAGATGAGGTATATAGGATATGGAAATGGAGAGTGTTTCAAATGATAAATTGCTTTGGTTTTCGTGTTTGAAAATTATGTTGGTACAGTCATGTGTGGTAACTTTTCTTTGCGTTTTTATAATGCTTCATTCCTGGAAGGCCTTTTAAAAATGTTATTTTCTCTACTAGGTACCGTAATAACTTCTCCTCTATGTAAAAATTGTCTGTAACATGAATTTTAGTTTTTCAATCTGATAACTTTTATGTGACCATTTTAAACCATGGTCATTAGTTTGTTTGCCAGCTTGATAACACAACTCTCAGGATAAGCAAATACATGTGAAAATTCCTGTGCAGGATGTAATAGCAACTTCTGGAAACTTCAATTCTTGGTGCATACTTACAAATATTTTCCTGATCACTTCTGGATATTTTCTGTAGACTTTGTACATGTGTTTGTTATTGTTGTTTTTATGTGCTATTGAGTCACCTGCAACTCATAGTGACCGTATGTACAACATCCCTAAATCCTGCTCTACCCTGTGCCAATCTTATTGTCTCTGACACACTTATCCCCATTACCTCAGTCACTGAATCAAACCATCTCATTGAAGGTCTTCCTTTCTTGCGCTGTCCCTCCACCCTCCCAAGCATGACATCCTTCTCTAAGAACTGGTCCCACCTTGCAACATGTCCAAAGTACGTTAGACAAAGCTTCAGAATCCTTGCCTCCAAGGAGCAGGCAAGGTCTCACCCTCTCTAGGATGAACTTGTTTGCTCTCCTAGCAGTCTGTGATATATTCAATACTCTTCTCCAGCACTACAGCTCAAAGGCATCAGTTCTTCTATCATCCCTAGTCATTGTCCAGCTTTCCAAAGCATAGCAACTAATTGCAAAGATCGTGGCCTAGATCAGGCACACCTTAGTCTCCAGACTGACATCGTTGCTCTTCAGTACTTTAGAGAGGTCTCTGACAACATATTTTCCCAATGCAATTAGTCTTTTGATTTCCTGGCTGCTGGTACCAACAGTGTTGATTGTAGAGCCAAGCAAACTAAAACTGTTAACCATCTCAATCTATCCTGATGCTGCCAGTCAGTCCAGTGGTGAGAATCTTTGTTTTCCTGATGTTGAGCTTCAATCCATATTGAAGACTGCAGACCTTGATCTTCTGCAGCAAGTTCTTTGAGTCCTCCTCAGTTTCAGCAAGCGTGGTTGTTTTTACTAGACAATAAACTAGAAATTCTGAAATTTGTGTTATCTAAACTGTTCTGTTTATAGCAATGAATTGAAAGGTTATTTGTTATTATGTTACTGTTATTAGGTCCCATCAAGTTAAGTAAGACTCATAGTGATCCTATAAACAACAGATCTAATCCCTGTCATATCCTGTGCCATCCTCACAATCTCTTACACATTTGAGCCCATTGCTGTAGTCATTGTGTCTCTATCCACCTGATTGAGGGTCTTCCTCTCTTTTGCCATCCCTCACCTTTCAAAGTGTGTTTTCTGTCTCCAATGAATAGTTTTTCTTAGCAACATGCCTGAAATATAGGAGACCAAGTTTTATCCTCTTTGCTTCCAAGGAGCACTTTCTCTAGCTGTATCTTCTCTACCTCTTTGTTCTTTTGATAGTCCATGGGAAAGTCAGTACTCTTCTCCAACACAACAATTCAAAGGCATCAATTCTTCTGTCATCTTTATTCACTGTCCAGCTCTCAGCTAGGATATTTAATGTTATGAGAAGACCTCAAAGGCATATGCTAAATTTTAAAAAGCTAACTTATTTTTTATAAAATTAGAAACTATGTTTTTATATTATAATTATGAATGAATTGCTATTATAGGCAAAGATAGATGTTAGATGTTGAATAGGGAGATAATAAAATTAATTATTAGTTTAAGGTAGTTAAAAATAATATCCTTTGGAGACTGAGGAATTTACTAACATTCTCTATTATAATTAACTTTCTAAAAGTTGAAAGTTAAATATATTATTGTTGTTATGCATTTGCACTATGGCAGGCACCACAATACTAGTTGAATACTAATGATATATTTTGATATATTACAATAATTATGGGCACTAATTATATTCTGCAACTGTTTTTCATTTAACTAACCTAGAAAGTTCAATTTCCCAAATCTGCATAATTACATAATAGATTAACATTCACTTATATAATAAAGGAGATGTGTAATTATAATGGCATTGTTGAATTATGTTGGCAATATTATAATTTCCTAACTTATATATGGTCGGTACAATTTTGTAAGTCCGTTATTTAGAGTTAGAAACACATTTCCTGAAGAAACAATCTTGTGTATGTAAGTTCCATTTTAACCAACAACTCACCGTGTACACTTACCCTAAAAATGTTTCAGAAACACCAGTTACTGATTTCAGAAAGAGAATATGCTACTGACTTTTGTGTCCAAAAGTGTTTTGGTAAAAATCATTCAAAGATTCAATTTAGGATACAATTCTTCATTTCCTTCTTTTCTTATTTTTTTTTAAATGCAGACAAAGTGACCCAGACGGGACTCACATATTCTAGAGCAGTGACTCCAAAAAAGAGGTTGAAATAAAGGATGAAAAGTAGAAAGAATGGAAAGAGCTCTCATAGCCATCACCTTTGGACGGGTTAAACCTCCTGTTGTTGTTATGTGCTATTGAGTCAGAACCAACTCAGAGCTAACCCTCCAGCAGGTTTTCAGATGCTGTAAATCTCACAGAAAGTAATTACCCATCTTTGTCCCACAGAGGTACTGATGGATTCGCTCTTCCTGCCTTTTAGTTGGCAATATAACTCTTTACCTAGTAGCCCAAGAGAATTCTCTTGGTTAAACCTCCTCAGAACCTTTTTTATCCTTCACTGAATCCCTAGAAGCTTCTTCATGTATTTGTTGTTGTAAGGTGCTATCAAGTCAATGACAACTTATAGCAACCCTGTGAACAATAGATCTGAACCTTGCCTTATTCTACACCATCCACACTATCTGATATGTTACAGTCCATTGTTATAGTCACCGTGTCAATCTGTCTTGTTAAGAGTCATCTTCTTTTTCTTTGACCCTGCACCTTTCCTAGCATTATGTCCTTTTTCAGGAACAAATAGGTCTCTCCTTTAGGATATACAGCCAGGGTGCTCTGTAGAGGCGAGGGTGGTAAAACTTCATCTCACATACTTTGGACATGTTAGAGGAGCCAGTCCTTGGAAAAGGACATAATGCTTCATCCATTGGGTTGTATTTTAAATGACTTGGGTTTTATGTGGGTTTTTTGTATTTTTATAAAATGACTCTTCAGAAAATTTTCCCACATATATCTTCAAGGACAATAACATGAAGAATAATTAAGACCTCTGACTATTGCAGAGAAATAGCCCTTTAACCCATTATATTTTTAAAATATATCCTCACTTCCTTTACATCTAACCCCTCAAAAGATCAAGGTCAATTTGCTCTTTAATCATTGCTCATGATTTTAGCCCCTTCTGTGCCTCTCTAACTACAACTGTTAGCCTTTTCCTCCTCTCATTCAGCTACCTTTTGCTTTCTAGTGTTATTTCTCCTTCCTTCCTGGCTTGCTCCTCTGCTCCTTTAGGTAGAATTGTGAGTCCGCAAGAACAGAAATAAATTCAGTAGTTGATAATGAAAATTTTACTCTTTGATCTTTGACTCTGACCCTTTATTAGTATAGTACTTTGGAAATGAAAGCATTCTGAAAGTTCTGAAATCAATATTGGGAAAACTTCTTTGGATTTCTAAGTCAATGTACTGCTTTCATCATTTTTGGGTGATTTTCACCAAGATCATTATGTGATATTAATTATATTATTACGTAACTTCTACATTTTCTTGGATCACCTTTCTTTGGAATAGGAGCAAATATGTTCATCTTCCAGTGAGTTTCCTTGCACAGACTAATAAGTATATCCAGGACTGCATCTGTTGGTTGAAACATGTCAATTGGTAGCCCATTGATTCCTGAGGCCATATTTTGTGTCAATGTCTTCAGTGCAGCTTGAACTTCTTTGATTACCATTGGCTCTTGGTCATATGCTACTTCCTGAAATATTTCAGGGTTAACCAATTCTTTGTAGTAGAGTGACTGTGTATTCCCTACATCTTCTTTTGAATCTTCCCAATAGCATTCAAGACATAGCCCATAGCATCTTTTAGTATTGCAGCTAAAGGCTTGAATTTGTTTTCCAGTTCTCTCCACTTGAGAAAAGCCAAGTGAATGCCTTTTTATTCTCTAACTCTATAGCTCTTGGCCCATTCCATTATAATAATTTACTTTGTCCTCTCAAGCTGCCCTTTGAAAACTTGTGTTCATCTCTTTTCACATCTGCATCTTTCCCCTTTGTTTTATCTTCGCAATACTCTGGTGCAAGTTTTAGAATCTTTTCTGACATAATTTTGGTCTTTTACTTCTCCTGTATGTAATGATCTTTGCTCTTCTCAGAGATGATATCCTTAATGTCATCTCACAGTTCATCTGGTCTTCAATCACTAGTGTCAGTGTCTCAAATATATTTGTTCCTCTACCATGGACAGTGTTTGGTGGAGCTTTCTGATTAAAACAAGCTTGGAAGTAGGAGTGGCATCCACTTCTGAAATGGCTTGCCTCCAGAAACCCCATGAACTTGTAGAATTGAAGAAAGTTATGCAAGTGTTCAAGCCTTTTGTTCATAGGATCACTATGAGTTGTCTACAACTTGACGGCACTTAACAGCAACAACATAGAGCTCAGTGGGGCCAGTGAACAGAAAGTGATGCTATCAAGCCAAAGGTAGGCAATTTTAATCTGCAGCCCTTAGGCCTGGTTTTAATTGTTTTTGGTCAAACACTCTTCTAAGTTGTATAGCACTGGTCTATCCATTTGCTGTACAGAGGTAACTCATGGTTGCTGTGATGCTGAATACTGTGACACTGATATGTCAAATGCTATAAAGGTTTCCTA